CAAGAGGTGGCCGAAGGCATCCCCGCCATCTACCTGACACCCGTTGGCAAAACTCCGGTTCCCCGCCAAAACACGTTGGGATTTAACAGCTGCTAGAAGTGGTAAAGACATTAATACACAGCGAAGGATAAAGCCTCTAATTTTATTCTGTTCCAGCTAAAATAAACCAATGAGAATTTTGTAAAAGTAAGTGGTACTTTTAAGTTCCTACAATCAATGGTAAGGGAAACTAACTGTTTCTACGGTTGTATTAATAACTCTATTGCGAGTCGTGTATGCGCAAAGCTAGTATCACATACTTCGGTCGGAAACCTCTGTTTGAATGAGTGGCCGGCTCTCCAGACTTCACTACATAGAGCGCCGGTATCTCTCATTAACGGTCTAAGGTATACCCAGAGGTTTGAACCATCCACGGGGAATATAAAGAATGTCCTTATTGCCTAACGGTCTACGTACAACAATTAAAACTGGTACATGGATTGCTTTTGAGAGCGCATTTCTAAATTGTTAATCTTTGTGCAGGTAAGGTTCTGTAACATCAACTGACATAATTTTATGCTGCTGAATGGAAACCGGGTACAGTCTGTTTAAGCACCGTCTAGGGCCGGACAATCTACTAGACCACCTAGGTCGGTGGACTAGGGTGTACAAGTGGGCGTCAATAACAGAAGTGTTTGTTATCAAATATAAAAATGTCTATAACAGATCTTTAAAAAATCTAATGTTAAATCTAACCCACTTATTATATGAGAATCGAGATTCTGTAATGCTCTGAAATTATGCAGTCTTCTCTCACTGTTGCTGTTGCTTGCTTCTTGCCACATATCGTGTCAAATCACAAACGTGCAAGAGGCTGCCTTAGTTTCAAGTTGACCCTGAACTAATTAAGGGCTCGTAAAAAGAAAAATATTTTGTTTTCTCGCATGTATAATTCGTGTAACCGCCAGACTAATCAATTAGCCTCCTTAGTTGGGGAAGGGCACTGAGTGAGAGACTTGCTCCGTGGGATTAAGTTCTTCGAATTTACTGTTTATTTCGTTTTTTAAATAAAGCGGTATAAAGAATTAATCAAAACCCCGAAAATATTGTCCCCTACCTTATAAAGACACTTATATTAATTTGGCTAAACGAACGTGTTATCATATAGGAATAGTTTAAAAATTGTAACTTGATTGTTTATCGTTAAATTGTGTTTCGTCGGGTAAAATGAAGCTTTCTGTTTGGAAATTAAAATACTCGCAGTAGTTATGTGTTTCAAAATTCAATATTTTAGATCCTAATCCCCAAAAAACTATAATTATAATGATTGGTGAACGAGCTGGTTTAGTGGTATCCCGCTAGATCACCAAAGCTTGAAGTGTTGGAGATGCGTCCCGGGGACCCTGATGGTGAGAAGTGTGCCTCTATTATATGTTGCATCACGGCACGACCCACTGAGTCTCTGTGGCCTTCTTGCTAGATTTCACCACTTATTCCCACTCTCATTGTCCCCGGATCAGAGACTTGTTGGGCAACTTCTTCTCCATACACTGACACATCTTCCTTTCTAATATCATTTCTTACATTTTAAACGTACTATTAATAAAACAAATTTTTTATTAAACCACTAGTTTCAACCCTGAAGTCGTCATAGTCATACATCCAATAATAATAAAATAAAATAAATAGATCGTATGTTGAATTAATATTAATAGTTTGAAAATTGGATTGTTTGTTGGATGTAGGCTAGTTGTTCTCCAGTTGATAATTCATTCTGTATATAAATCAAACTGTGAAACTGGACATTGTTTTCAACGCTATCATATTTGTAATACTTTTGTATTGGTGTATCGCCGTTTGCAATAAAAAAAAATACAGATTTTTGATGATTTGTATTTATGTTACATGTTACATGATATGTATGTTGTTGTGTTTATGTTAAGTACATATTTTTTCTTTTTTATTTACTTTTGGGGTTTTCCTAGTATCGGATTTCATATATTAATGTTCCAACACATTTTCTATGGAATTTTTTAATGTATATAGGCCTACAGAAGTTATATTTTGGGGATATTTCTTGTTGTTTTTGTCTACATAACAACTCATCTAGTTCATACTCTAGAATTCCTAAACTTTAATTTTAATGTCATGTTTTGATTAAATTTTCTGCAAAATTTTATTTTATTGTTGTTTTATTTTCTGATCTTAGAGTTTGCAAATGTTATTAAAATGTTTTTGCTTTTATACATTATATATCAAATATACATATATATTTCCAACTTGTAAAACCAACTTGTAAGCATCCATAGGATTATAACTGAAGTTAACAAAACAAGTCGGTCTATAAAATGTTTTAAGTTTCTTATCGATTGAAAAACCTTCAGACTCAGAGAACCATTGTTGTTATAGCCTATCTATTGGCATAGTTGGTCTCTTTTAGCACCATTTAGCTGGCAAGTAATTTGCCCTATAACCAAGATGCACATTGATTTACAATCATATGTTAGCGAATTTCCCATAGGGAATAAGCTACCGTAGGTCTCATGGTAAGACCTGGACCCGGGACCAATTTACTTTAAACACCATCCGTTAAAATTCATATAAATGTATTTATTTATTTATTTTTTGTAGTTCAGTTAACTTTTTAGGGCTACTTTTTCTATAAATATGTGAAATAATAAAAACCAGAGTAGGCCTACCTTGAAATTCATTTTTATTAAACTTATACATATTTCAGCACTAAGGCCATGATCACAATTATTTATTATATATACAGTATATATATATATGTGTGTGTGTCCCTTAGCACAATAACTCGAGCAAAATTGATCCGATTTTGATTAAATTTGGTACAAACATGTAAACCTACATTTATTTGAACGAGTTTGCGAACCAGCATGATTGGACCATTAGAATAGGGTTTTATGGTGTAAAAAATGGGTTTTTTAGTTTTTTACCCTCAAAACATAATAGTTCCCAATTTCTCTCTCTAGACCATTTTGAAGAGCTTAAAAAACAAATAATTTAGTATATTAAATGTTTTTGTAGGGTTATTGGTTAAGGAGAAAATTAAAAAAATTTAAATTTTAAAATTGCCATGTTATTCTTATGGAGAATAAGTAAACTGTTGTAGTTTTCTTGTTTATGGATATAATCAAACTTGGAAAATCTATTTATTTTATACCAAGCTATAATTGTTTTATTAAAAAAACACACTTTATTACCCTCCCTGTAGCAGCAAACCTTGGTACTTGACTCGTTAAATCTAATGTTATTTAAATAGATTTAATTTTAAATCAATTCAGGCAAATTAGAAATTCGATTAGTCTGCAGGTTTGCTGCCGCAGGGCAATTTTCCTTTTTTATTATTCTAAATGTTTGACTTCATTTCCAAACAAAATTCAATCATTTTATCTTTCTAATTTTATTTGAAAACAGAAAGCGTAAAGAATAATTATTAATTTTTCAGATTTGTTAATCAACATTTCCACAATAATGTAAGTTATGTGTTTTAAAAAATGTGTTGGATGTTATTTTTACAAACAAAAAATAATAATAAAAAAGTTAAATTGAAGCTGATGTAAATTGATTACTACTAAACACACAAACGTACAATCTTTTTAAATCCATATGTACACCATTTTATTGATAAAACTATATTCTATATTACACATATATTTTCACAAAAAAATTGATACAATTTTAAATTTTATTTTGTTTAGAAATTGGAAGAAACATTATTAAAAAAACACACACATTGCATTTTCTAATATTGAACTGAGGAATATTGTCCAGAAAGACTAACTACAACAACGAATATTTGCCATATTTATCACCGTAATTTTTTATAACCCAACTCAATACAGTTTTAGAGCAATTTCAACCTATGTTTAGGTATTATTTGAACTGTTGGTTGGTTTTTGGGTCAAGGGTACCCTAGGCTCTGGGTCATGGGACCTGTTTGGAGTTTCTTCTCTTGCTGACCTTATTCCACCTCTGCAATACATTCCTACCATTCTAGAACTGAATGAAATGCATGTGTTTATATAGATAACCACCCTCCCCCCTCCCCTCTGGGCACATAACTGTCAACTTATATAAACTGTAACATGTGTTTGTCATCTATCATTACTAACATCAATAGCATTGAGACAATATTTTCAATGCATACTATAGAACTTTCAATTTAAATAATTGACATACAACTCAATTCTTAATTCAGATTGTTCATCTTACAGACTGTTTTTACTATTGAATGTAACATGATCTAAAGGGAACTTTGTTTACTGTTGCGCCTATGCTTACAGGATAGTAATGATCTTTACTTTTCTTTTACCAACTCCAAGTTTTTAGAATCTGTACGGATTATAAAATATTTCTTTTTTAATGTTTATTCCTTCATTTTAACTAAAAATTCATAAACCTAATGTTTATGATTATCAGGTACATAATTTAAATTATACCTTTGTTTGAGTTGCTACAAACACTCTTACTATTTTGAGCTCTTGTTTTCTTTCTCTACAAATGTATACTTTCATGTTTTATCCTTAAACTCTACTTAATTCAGTATGCTTCAAAATGTATGTAAATGTTTTCTGAATGCAACCTTTTTACATCACAACAAATCTTGACAAACTCCACTAAACATGACCTGAACAAGAGCCATATAAGAGTAAAAATATATCTACGAGTATAATAGCTGCTGTGTAGTGCAGCTCTTTATTTTTTGCATTTCTGATGTTTTCAGATATCACAAAAAAAAATTAAGTTCAATAATGTTAATGTATAAATTTTACACAGCATTTATAAAAACACTCATGTTTCAGCAATTATGCAGTGTAACCAAATACTACTTACATTATTGATTTTTATGTATATCAATCTATAGTAAAAGAGGAATTTATCTTTAAATCCATACCCATTACATTGCCTCAATGAGTATAAAATGGTTGTTTTGATTAAGTTTAGAATGTCAGCAAAATAAAAGTGTGAAGTACATAGAAACATGTTTCATGTTACAGATGAGGAGTGGAATGCAGAGGCTAACAAGGATTCACTGTTCCTGGTCCAGGGTGGAGGTGAGATGTCTCTGCCTCGTGCCAGACGCCTCAACAGCAGCAACAGTGGTCGCGGTCAGAACCACACTGGCGAACAAGTCATTCATCCAGACCTTGTCAAGTTAAAGAAACACTATGGTGCAGAGTTCAATTCTCAAACAGATTCCCACCCGTCCAGTGGCCAGCGAAGGAGGAGGAATGCAGAAGAGCGTCAAAGATCCCCTTCACCGACTGATGCTGGATCCACAATAGGATCTCCAACTCCACGAGATAGATTCAACGATGCAAAAGAAAAATTTCTATCTCTTGAGAGAGAAAAACAAGAAGAGAGAGAACGACAAGAGAAAGCGATTATGAATGAACGAAGGAGGAATACTCAGTCCATCGAACCTCCTATTCTTCCAGCAATGATGCCTGTTGAACGATCAAGACCCACTCGAAGCTGGTCGAGAAGTAAAGACTCTGAGGACGAATTAGAAGATTTATCACAACGAGGATACTCAAATAATATCGATAATTATAAGTACCATAACAACAGAGATTTTGTTCCGGCTCTCAGAAGGGAACCCTCCTATATTAGGAGTCAGTCTCATGGCAGCATTCCAGACTCAGAGGAATATCCACAAAGGCAACAAGGAAAACACCGAGGAGCACCATTTGCTCATAGAGAAGATAGACATCTCAGTCCTCCCAGAGGTAACTTAGATAACCATGGCTATAACATGCCAGAAGAAATAAATAAACCATCCCATATGAATCGTAGGTACACTAGTCCTAGAAGAGAACCGAGTCCTGAAATTAAGCAAAGAAAAGAACGGTGCACTAGTCCTGTGATGAATAGTTCAAGACCTCCTCCTAGGAAGTTTACCGAGGATAGTCCAGTTGAAGATAGAAATTCAAGATTTGTTGGGAAAATTCCAAGAGGTCACTTAAGTATAAATCAAGTGCCATTAGCTGAAAGCAATAATTCAATACCTTTAGAACGATACAGAAGTCCTACGAGGGTTAATCCTCCTCCTAGACCTTCGATGAGGCATCAGAGATATCCAACAACCACCAGTGAGGAGGAAGAGGACCGCAGGGATTATAGACACATGATGCACCCAGAGGCGATGAACTTCCCACCAAGAGCCATGCAGTATGACAAGAAGCGAAGATCTATGTACGAATCAATCGAAGATGAAAGACGAAGGAACTCCAATGAGCTTGCCAAAGAGTTCAAGCGAAGATCTTATCAAGACCACGGACCAAATATAGAATCAAATAGTTTAGGATACCAAGAGTTAGACGAACGTGAGAGGTATCCTGGATTAGATAGAGAAACTGCAAGACCACATCAGCCAGAAGAAGTACCGACATTGTCACCGAGGTATCGGCACAGTTATGCTGAACCCTTTCACCAATACCAACAACCTATGCAGCCACATCATGAAATGCTCCATCGCACTAACAGCTCATTATCCTCTGGTAGGGTGGGAATGGCTGCCATTCATCCATACTGAGTCTTCACCAATGTGTGTGTGCTGAGTAATATAAAATGCTTGATTTCATTATTCAAGCAGCAAGTCTCTTAACTATAAGTAAAATGCTCTGTATATTCAAGTATGTTATTAATTATGGCTGGATCCCTATAATCAGTCCTCAAACAATTAGATATTACAGATTATTACTGTCAGTTTATAAGCTTCCCACTCACAATTTGTGATAATCTATTACTCAACAAGTAAGATATTCATTATTGTTGCTAAAAATTGCTAAACAGTAAAATCATAATTCCTTGTGATGCACAAAACACTACATGAACTATATGAGTGTTTATGAAAGTAATTAACAGCCTTCTAATTACTCCGTTGTACTATTTCATGGCTCACTGTTTCCACAACTAACTACTGTAGACATAATATCTCAAAATGTTTAGGGTAACATTATGCATGTACTTACTACCTCTTTTGTAAGGATATTTAACTGTTTTGTACTACTTTGAAACAATTATCTGTGAATAGCATTCAATTTGTAAATTGTATTAAATGTTTACCATGTATCATAGATCTATTATAAATTTTATTTATTTATCATGTAATAATTTGTACTATTAGTACCAGTACTGATACTGAAATTAACACCATTAATACTGTGTTATAACTTTTTAATTAACTGAGGCTGAGTGATGTCATAGAAAGCTTAACTCACTGATTTTTCAGGAAATTAGTGTAGACAGTCCAAACCGATTGAATTATCATGCCAATAAACAGAATATTTCTTTAGTCTATATTTTCTCTAAAATTATTCCCCTTACCACGATTATAAATCAAAATTACATCGTAGCAATCAGTGGAAAAAATGTATTGAAATATTTCTTCATTTGCACTTAATAACATCATAACAGTTAATTTATAACTAAAAATATGCTTTACCTTCGTCAATGCCAAGATTTCGAAGTCTGACGATGGCATTGTAATGCCGAAACGGCGGTAACCAACGTAGTTACACCGTTATTTGAGCTGCATTGACGAAGGTAAAACCTATTTTAAGTTATTATACAGCTCAGGGCTAAAACATAGATTTTAGTTCATGTATATTCAGATCAATATTTTCCGCTACCATACTGCAAATGATTGCATAACGTACTTTTCTCGGAAGCAGTGGATTTTACTCTACTGGTTTTGCAATGGTGTTTATTATGTATTTGCTTACTATATGCTTTGTTTCAAGTGATAAATCGGGCATATTGGTGCTAGTTTAGAGGAAGGTCTCAAGTGCATTTCCACTCGCAATCTATTCTGTGAAACTTCTATAAAGTCAAGTCAAAGCAGATTGTGAGGGGGGGGATTTTTTGTCTAAACTTGACAGGGCCAACATTTCTATAAACCATTCATTTAGAACTCTGAGAAATTTACTAAACCAGTCCTGCTTAATGCAAAAACCTGCATTTCAAGTAGTTAAAGGAAATAGTACCTAGGAAACAAACAAGAATGAAGCCTGGAATGCAAACAGTCTCTATAGTGTGATTCTTGACTCCACGAGAGGAATTGAGCGGTCGGCTGGGCTGTTGAACTAGCTTAGATCAAGTTAAGAGAATTGGGTGACACCTATGGAGTATGGATAACCTTAATTTGGCTTGTAGCAGGGCCAGCAGGGGGAGCGAGCTGGCGGAGTGGCTAGAGCGCGGGACTTCAGTCCCTGACGTCCCGAGTTTGATCCCCGCCAAGTCACCAATGGATTTTATCTAAGTGATAATGCCGCAAACCCTGGGTCTAGCCTGAAGTAATGTGAAAAACAATCCCAGGCTCGTGCCTAGCGTCTTAGGAAAAAAAAATATATCTTTGCAGATGCAGCCATTTTGCCAAGGTGGAAGTGGTAATGTATGTTTATAGGCAGGCTCAGATGATATGTTTTTTATGAGTACAAAAGCTGAACTGTGACTTCTCACAGAGCTTTAAAACAAAAATAGAGAAGATATTTTGAAGCCTTAAATAATCCATTGCAGGAAAGAATAAGGATACAGAGAGCGCATATATAAGAAACATTTTCAGTTTCTACCTATATACTACCTATATACTTTTACGTGTATAGTATATTTCAAGTGGTTTTTGTAAAAAAAATATATAAGCCTTTAGTTTATCACAAGAAAAATTGTTCAGTTCCATCTATGGGAATAGTGTAAATGGCACTTTAAGCTTTTTTTTCATTGACACAGTCTATCCAGAAATTCTGGTCAATGACGTCGCAGCAGGTATTAAAGGAATGCATGTAAACAAGATATCAAAACAGCTACAATCATTTAAACTTACTTAAGAACTAATTAGTTTTTAGCAATAATGCCTAAATTATGGTATAGAAGGGGTAGTACAATCCCTTCTATACCATAATTTAGGCAATATTGCTAAAAACTAATTAGTTCTTAAGTAATGTAGGCTGCATATTTTACAGTTTTACTACAGTACCACTGATTCAGTCTTTTTATTGGGTAGTTACTAACTAGGTGTACAATGCAGCTGACTGCTTGCAATATTGAGCGGAGTAACCATATTAGTCATAGTCAAGAATCTTTATTCATAGTATACATGGTTGTACATGAATAGTGTCAAATAAATTAAAACTAATGCTTAAAACTATGATAAAGCCATTTTTAATTCATCTAAGGCCAGGCGCACACAGGCGATTCTGAGTCTAGCAACAGTTGCCCAACTAATTGTGGGACAGTTGCGCAACCCACTCGGAGACTCTGAAATCTAGCAACAGTTGAGCTGGAATGCGCACACAGGCAACTTTTTAGTCGTGAATCTAAAATCTGAAGACGTAAATTGGACATTAACAGCGTTTTAGCGTTAACAGTACCAAATGGATTTCAATGATACAACCGTAGTATGTGCTTTGTTGTTGAAGTTGTGATGTTTGATTTTATCCTCTTGTGTTAGGTTATCCCAAACTTAAGTAACTGCCAAGGAAACTTCATCCCACAACTTCTTCTTCAAATTAATATCCAAATAGTCTTTCAATGACTTTAAATATAAAGGCAGCCTCTTCTTAACTTCATCAATTAAGTCTTTGACGTCCTCATCACAGACATTCATATTTGAGTAATTTTCTAAAAACTTTACACAACAAAAATAGAGCAAACACTAGTTACAGTATTGGTCACGAGTAGCTGAATTCCTCGGGTGAGACTGAGCGACACAGCGACAATTTAGTCGCATGTGTGCGCGTCTACACTTGTTTCAATGGATACCAAGCCTGGAGCGACAGTCCCGTGACAATTGAATCGCAGAGCTGTCTCTGGCTAATTGGGTCCGAGAACATCGGTTGCAACAGTTGTGTGACGGTCCCTAGACTGTTCCTTGGTGTGCGCACTCCAATATAAAACAATGGTGAACATTTTAGTCGGGCAACTGTTGCTAGACTCAAAATCGCCTGTGTGCGCCTGGCCTAAAGAGTATAAGGATGGTTCCATTAAATATTCCTTGAGAGGGTTTTTTTAAAAATTGTTGGGTTTTTGTTCTGTTTTGATTTAATGTGTTTTATTTAATTTGTTTTAATTCTCTGTGGGAGTCTTGATGATAGGACTGAATAGTAACATCTGCCTCTGTTTCACGCTGAAAGTCAACAATGTTTGAAGAAAATTTTTCCAGATGAACTTTATCTCGCACACATCCGATTGGTGAGCATATTAGATGGTGAAACCCTCTTCTTTCAAAATCTTTTTTCAGTTGGTGAAAGGCGGTGTCATAGTCCCAGTTGTTAGGTTTGCCATAATAATGGTTCTTAGTTATAAGGCTGTATAGATTGAGGCCCCTTGGGTGTTTTGTAGGGCTAAGTGGTGACTAAGGCATTGGGAAGGACTTGGTTTGCCAAAATAGTTCTTGAAAACAACTGCCACACCTGCAGACATATGGCGGGAATCGCAGAAGTCAGCAGAGATGCTATTTGCAAAAGCCACGGTCCGATCACTCATATTTACTTTTATTATCTTTGCCATGTGCCTGTCCGTTACAGAGATGCTAGGTTTGTCCAGATGATTTTGTTTATCCATATCTGCCTGATAGTTTATTATTTTTTTAAATTTTCTTAGTGATAAGGCTAACCAGTACATTTTCCCCTGCATTGTTGAAATGGAGGCCATGATTGGTGAGGTCATCAAGGTCCACCACATGTACCGATTCCAGTCGAGCTCCTAATTCTCTCATATAGTGGTTAGCCATAACTATATCATTATGCATCGGATGTGTGTTTGATAGGTCATGTCTGTGAGGTATAGAGGTTATTATAACTGGTTTAGTTAGACTTTTTTTAATTTTTCTTCTAAGGAGGAAAATATTCTGAATAGATCATGCCGTAGAGTGTCATTTGTTCCTTCAATGATGGTAATTGTTTCTTCTTTACAATGCAATGCAGTTTCAGCGACCTGTATAAGCCCTGCGTTTGGCATAACTGATCCTACCAACGACCCAAAATTTTTCAGGGTTACCTTATTAAATCTTAGGACCAATATTTCTTCCTTGGCTATTTGAATACACGGACATTTTTGTTTTACTATTGTCTTGATGTTGATGATTTAGCAATTGAGGTTTTAATTCAGGTGAGTTATTCGGTGTTGTTATGTTGGGGTTCCTCTTATTTTTTTAGCGAATTTCCCATATAGGGAATATTTAGCGAATTGCCCATATAGGGAATATTTAGCGAATTTCCCATATAGGGAATATTTAGCGAATTTCTCATATAGGGAATATTTAGCGAATTTCCCATATAGGGAATAAGCTATTACCGTAGTACTCATGGTAAGACCTGGACCCGGGACCGAATTAATTTTTTGTTTTGAGGTCCCTAGAGGCCAAAAACACCATCCGTTCAAATTCATATACATGTGTCCGTTAGCGTGATCTGTTCAAGTGCTGTTAGAGATAATGAAGTTTAGCTCATTCTGGAGTCTGTTAGCTAGATATCCGAACTAACAATCCAATAATTTTGATAAATGTAACCACAAATTAATTTATTGTTCCCAATGGGCTCGGGTTCACATAAATGGAAAGTCTACTTGCAGTATCCAAAGTCACATCTTGTTCACGTCAATGCGATGTGTACTTGTTCAGTTCTTTTACCTATTTTTTCTTTAGCCTTTTTAAAACTAACTAAAACAGATGATGATTTAAAATAATTCATTATATTGTACAAATAAACATTCCATTCTGGTTCTTCTTGTTAACATGGCTTACTCATTTTTCTCTCTTAATTTTTCATTAATACTCCCAAACACTCCACATTATTAAGTAAAAAGCTACATAAAATCACTGCTTCCTGAAATTGGTTCAAGCACGGATTCTTAAGTTTAACTAAATTTGAACTTTCAAAATTTGATGGAGATCTAACTAATTGGACATCATTCATTAATTTATATGACTCCACTATCCACACCAATGACTCTTTGTCTAGTGTAATAAAATTTCAATACCTTTTGAGTGTATTGGACAAAGAGCCACTAAATTTGATTCGAAGTCTCCAAATTACTGGACCCAATTATGCAGTAGCATACAATTTGTTAAGAGAAAGATACCACAATGACAGGCGTCTACAACTTTTACATTTAAATCAACTACTTAACATTTCTAGTTCAAACATCACTGGTGTATGAGATTTTGTCAATCGTTTCAATGAAAACACTCAAGCTTTATCAGCATTGAACTATAATGACCAAGAGTCTAACTTGTTGTTGTCCTTAGTCCTATTAAGAAAGTTGGATCTTAATCTTCAACTTAGAAAAAAAATAGAAATTCAAATTAGAATCAATTTGTAAAAAATTTGATAGGTACATCAGATCATTCATTGCCTACTTTAAAACAGATAATTACTTTCCTTAATAATGAATGCACTTATTTTGAGGCTATGCTGTCCCAAAACATGACCAGTAGTGAACAACAAAAGACACCCAAATATTCCTTGAACACTAACAAAAGGTTCCCACTTCAGAGAACTACTAAAGTGAATGTGGCCAAACCTTTGTTTAGTACTCAAAAAGACAGTCGGCCAACACCAAATACATGTTTTTTTTTTTTTAATCAACATAGTCATAATATCTACTCGTGCTCAAAATTCCTTGCCTTGTCCCCACATGAAAGGTACCAGTTGGTTAAACAATCTCAAAAATGTTTTTCATGTCTTGGACTACATGCATCAAAATTTTGTCAATCTAAGTCATCGTGTAAAAAGTGTGGAAATCACAAGCACCACACACTGTTGCATTTTGACCATGTCAAAAGTAAACAAGTTTCACTTAGTTCTAACCAGTTAAACAATCACATTGATGATCAAGAATTGTCTAAGATGACACCAAACATATCCGATTCTCTAGTGTCACCACATCAGAGTATGCAAACAAATCTCAAAGAAAATAATACTGTCTTACTTGGAACATTGTTAGTAAAAATCAGTTCCTCTTCTGGTGAGCCACATGTGTTTCGAGCTCTTCTTGACTCTGGCAGTATGTGTAATTTAATAACCGCACATGCAGCTAGGATCTTGAGTCCAATATCCAACTATCAGGAATCAATCAACATATATGTAACAACCAACAGAGGACAGATTTTAATTGATCTCCAAACTATGTCTGGTAAAATGGTAGTTGAAGCTCAACCTGCTCTCGTCCTTGAAAAGTTGACAGTTGATGTTCCTCCTTCATCCATTTCATCTAAAGTCACTCAACTCACTCAACAGTATAACCTGGCTGATCCTTCCTTTCACATACCGAATCGTATTGATCTCATCATTGGAAATGCAATTCTCCCTCAACTTCTCACTCAAAACCAATTTTCACTTGGTCCTAACTTACCTACTGCTTTAGGAACTCACTTCGGTTTTGTACTTATGGGCACCACTCCTTGCTCCCTCACAAACCCGTTGATTACCAATAACATACCTACCACTTCACTCAATGTTTGTTTACTGTCAAAAAGTGACATTGATTGGCATGCTTCCTTACAAAGCTTTTGGGTGCAAGAAGAACCCCCTACATCACCCAGTCTAACCCATGAAGAGGCACTGTGTGATCAACACTTCGTGATGAAAACGGACGTTTCATTGTTCGTTTGCCTTTCAAAGACTCCTCAGATCATTTTCTAGGTGATTCCCAGCCAGCTGCTGAAACACGTTTATATGCTATGGAACGGAAGTTTCGTTCAAATGATCAGTTTTCACAACTCTATCATGACTTAATGAATGAATACCAAACATGTCAAAACTAACAGATGATGATCATATTCAATCACAACCCCATTACTATCTTCCACATCATGGTATCTTAAAGGAGAGTAGTAGTACCACCAAACTACGAACAGTTTTTTATGCCAGTTGTAAGTCCAGTTCGGGTTAATCACTCAATGACATTCTTCTGACTGGTCCTAAGCTACAGAACAACATTTGTGACTTACTCATCCAATTTCGACGTCACAATATTATATTTTGTTGTCACATTCGCCAAATGTACCACCAGATAACTATACACCCTGATGATCGAAACTTTCAGTTAATTCTCTGGCATCAAGATCAACAACACTCAATTGATACTTTCAAATTGAATACCGTTACACATGGCGTGAACAGTTCTCCTTACTTAGTCATTCGGACACTTCTTCAGCTAGCCATTGATGAGGGACATCAGTATCCTATTGCTGCACTAGCTTTGCAAAACCATAGGTATGTTGACGACATTATCACGGGGGCAGAAACTACAGAAAAAGCGCCCACTCTTCAATCTCAACTCATTGAACTATTGAAATTCGGATGTTTTGAATTGAGGAAATGGGTTTCAAACTCTCAAGAACTATTGACTTCTATTCCTCAATCGCATGTTATATTATAAGATTATTATGAAATATTATAAGATCACGGATTTTCAAATGCATAATTTGTTTCAAACTACGTCCAAGACCAATGACACCCCTCATGGGAGACTTACCTCCATGCCGCATAACTCCAGCAAAACCATTTTCGTCAACAGGAATCGACTACGGTGGACCGTTCAAACTGAAGATCACAAACCTAAGATTTATCAAACAAATCAATGTGTATGTTTGTATTTTTATTTGCATGGTAACCAAAGCAGTGCACATTGAAGTAGTGCATGATTTGTCTACTCCTGCGTTCATCTCTGCATTGGTCAGATTTATTTCCCGACGTGGACGTTGTAATCAAATTTACTCTGACTGAAAATAATTAAGAACCTCAAATCTAAAGAATCTCAAAATTCTATAACTAAGTTTTGCATCGAACATGGTTTAAATTTTAATTTTAATCCTCCTGCTTCACCTCATCATGGTGGGTTATGGGAGTCAGCGATAAAAAGTGCTAAATACCATATCTACAGAGTAATTGGTTCTTCAGTCCTTACTTATCCGGAGTTTACTACGCTCACAACTAGAGTTGAAGCCATGTTAAATTCAAGACCATTATGTCCACTCTCTGCCTACCCCTCAGATTTATCAGCACTTACTCCTGGGCATTTTCTAACTGGTGAACCTCTAGTATCAATACCGGAAGATGATATCTCAACTGTACCAGTAAATCGTTTGAAGCATTGGCAGCTGAGTCAATCATTCTTTCAGAACATATGGAAAAGATGGAGAAAAGAGTACTTTCGCACACTGCAACAGCGAACAAAGTGGACAAAGTCAACAAAAAACTTGAAAATTTGTGATATGGTCATAATCCAATCTTCAATGCCAGCACTGCAGTGGCCCCTCGCAAGAGTACTTGCAGTACCCAAAGTAAATGCTGAATATGATTCACGTAAATGGGATGTCTACTTGCAGTATCCAAAGTTAATGGTATGAAACTCGGGAATAACGATTTCACAAACATTTGGTATTTGAACTATTTTGAACATCACTAGTCTAAAGCTAAAACCATGTGTATGACACACGACAAATGTGACACACGGTGTGTGTGACGTTAATCACGTTGAATTGAATCTAGTGCAGAATTGCGAATCTATAGTTTGGGAACCGCCGTAATAGTATAGCCTATTATTACGTTACTAGTCCACAAAATAGGTGTTTACCGGACGAGTAGGCATTACTATACGAGTACGGTAAACACATTTTGGACGAGTGTCATGCAATAATTTTTGCCATACTACCACTATTTCTTTACGCCATACTTTAAACTAACCTAACAATAAAATAACCCTACCACAGAAACCTCCAGCCTAAACGTATTTTTATTTGCCTGATTAGATTTTCACTTAAATGTTTCCTTAAATATGTGAGCTTTATTCCCTATTTAATTTTTTTTTTATTAATTTCTACCCCATATTAAACCTTGTTCTCATAGCGCGATCATGCTGGTTCGCGAACTCGTTCGAATAAACGTACAATCCAAGTAGGTACACAAGTTTGTACCAAATTTTATCGAAATTAGATGATATATTTACTCGAGTTATTGTGCTAACGGACACATATATGAATAGAATATGTATGTATTTAAACGGAAGGTGTTTTTGGACTCTGGGGACATCAAAATCTAAAAGTAAATCGATTCCACGTCAGGTCTTATCACTCATAGCCAATTATAATCAGCTGGTGTACATTAAATAGTATATTACGTTGTTAGTACGGAAAATAGGTGTTTACTAGATGAGTGGGACCTATGGTTGTTCCCGGGCAAGACGAAGTCGAGTATGGGATTATCATAAGAGTACAGTAAACACATTTTGACAAGTGACGAACAATATTTATCGCCATACTTCCATACTACTCTTAACCATCCAAACAATAAAAAAACTGTACAAATCCGTAAAATATTCCCACCAACCAAAGGACTTAACAACCACTAGTCATAACTTTTAATAGTATATTACGTTACTAGTCCTGAAAATAAGTGTTTACCGGACAAGTGTGGTCGTTCCCGTGCGAGACGAAGTCGAGTACGGGATTACCATACGAGTCCAGTACACACATTTTGGACGAGTTACGTACGATAGTTTACGCCATACTACTTAAAGTACAAATCCTTATATATTTCCACCAACTAAAGGACTAAAAATCACTAGTCATGAGAGGTTATGTTTTTGTTTATAACCACTAATTGCCAAGAAAATACAGTATAATCAGCTGATTGGTGTCCGGTAAAACTCATTGCAGAACAGTATTACGCAATGAAACCCCATTTGAATAAGCTGGCGGCAAACAGCTGTTTTCTGGACTAAATCCTTGCGTGGAAAGTTCATCAAAATAATGTAGTGTGGCGTAAAAGAGGTTATGTTATTGTTTACTTATTCTTATTGTCAATTATAATCAGCTGGTTTCCGGTAAAAACTCATTACAGTCAGTATTACGTAATGAAACCCATGCACTTGATTAAGCAGGCGGCAATCAGGTGTTTTCCGGAAAAATTTAATGCGTGAAAAGTCTATTAAAAAAGTGTAGCATGGCGAAATAGTATATTACGTTCTAGTCCTGAAAATAAGTGTTTGCCGGACGAGTGTGGTGGTCGGATTACCATACGAGTCCGGTAAACACATTTAAATAATAATAAATAATAAATAATCGATCTTTATTGTCATTTGGTAATATAAACATTACAATAGACAAAGTCAACATGTTTTGTTACATATGTTATATAAAATATTAAATAGGCTACAGAAAATGTTAAAATAAAGTTAAAAGAATCTTAAAAGGATAAAGCATCAGTAATAATTAAAAAACTTTGAAATTAACAGGGAAAAGACCATAACAAGAACAAAGAATCATCAAGACTGCTTGGCGTCACATTTAAGAGTTGAAAAATCTACATTCTGCAAAAACTCCTCGACTGAATAAATAGCACGACTTGTAAGCCAATCTGATAGTTTTGACCTATACAAATTAATACTTTCCTGATTTCTAAAATATATTGGAAGTTTATTAAATAGTTTTATTTGCAAATATTTATAACTTTTGATAAATTTTGTTAGCCTGGCTTGAGGAATATATAAATCTTTTGATTGTCTGGTGATATAACCATGGATTGAGTTGCAAGGAACAAATTTATTTAGATTCTCTTTAACGGAAACTAAATTGTTAAAAATGAACATATTAGGGAGTGTCATGATTCTATTTTCAGCAAAAAATGCCTTGCAACTACTGGAATTTCAAACATAATTCTGAGAGCCTTCTTTTGCCATGTAAAGACCCGGTACATGGCCGGGGGTTTTGGACGAGTGACGTACGATAGTTTACACCATACTACTAAATCTGTACAAATCCTTATACTGTATATTACCACCAACTAAAGGACTAAAAATCACTAGTCATAACCTCTAAGAGAGATTATGTTTTTGTTTATAACTACAGTACTCATTGTTGCAAAAATACAGTATAATCAGCTGATTGGTGTCCGGTAAAACTCATTACAGTACAGTAGTACGCAATGAAACCCCATTTGATTAAGCTGGTGGCAAACAGCTGTTTTCTGGACTAAATCCTTGCGTGGGAAGTTCATCAAAATAGTGTAGAGTGGCGTAAAATCCATTACAGTACAGTGGGTACAGTAGTACGTAATGAAATCCCATTTGATTAGCAGGTGACAAACAGATGTCTTCCTGACTAGTGTATCGATAAAAGTAAAAAAAAAAACTTAGATTTGAAAAGTTCGTACATATTGGGAGTAAAATTGCCATAGTGTAACATTAATGGAGCATGGGAGCGTTTGCTAATTGAAGGCAAAAATTGCAGTCTTGGATGTGGAGTGTAACTGTTATGGGCGTTGGCATGCCCCAAAACCCCGCATATCCCTTAAGGTGTTAAAGAACCTCAGGCCTAACCATGGATATGACTTTAGTATGAAACAATCACATCGGCAATGTGAGTAGTAAGCTTTCTCAGGTATTGTTATCTGATGCTCAAGCTCCGCAATTTATCACTATGAGCAATACCGAAAAGGCCTACCTGCTGATCATGCCATGTGAGCTATAGGCCTATATATAGCCTATATTAATGTGGGGTCATGCTATGGATGTTGACAACATTCAAGTGTTCTAGAAACGTCCTTTCAGGATTAAGTTATTTTCTTTTGGTGACCGCATTGCCCCCTTAAACCCATCTTTGCTAGGCTAGTGAATTTAATAGTCGCTAGCACTACATCCT